TACCCTTAGCTCTCATATTACATAACATAGGCACTATTATTGTGAGTCATATCATTGCTCTTATGATCACATATTTCTTCTCTTCTGTCACATACCACATGTATTTGTAACCATCTATCTCATATCATATAACATATATCACCTATTCACATAATCACATAGGTTCATGTTATATAAAAAATATCACAAGTGCATATAATCACGTATTCATGTAATCACGTAGATTGTTTCATATGGCTTACATCATTTCTCATTTGTTCATGTACGTATGTCATATCTTGTTCATATATGTTCATATATACATCACATAGCATATAGAATAACATATAAACTTATACATGTACTCATATACATACCTTCATATAGTCCGTATATCAATGTCATATAACTTATCTCACAATTTTACATATTCATATAGATCATGTCATATATAATAACATATACATGTTTTCATGTATTCATGTATTCATGCACACATAAGAATCACATAGTCACGTAGTTCAATTACAAGTAGATCATTTCCATATAATTCACTTGTCACATGTACCTTTTCTCATATATCTCATATAATCATATATATCTTATTTCATACATATATCATATACGCATACCTTCACTTATCTCATATCATATAATTTATTTTCTGTCCTCTTATGTTCACATGACATATAATGCATACAAATCATATTCACACATGTCTTTACTCATGAATTCATACATCATACAAATCATATTATTCACATGCTTATATTTACAACTTCATGTACTATAATTATAGGAAATAGACTTATCACAAGTCCAATTTCCATATAATTCTATATCAAAATAAAATGCACTCACCTTGACACTTTATATATCCAAATCCACTTCTATGATTTTTCTCTTTGGATTGATCCTAACTTTGTAGTCGTTTCAGAACTTGTTTGTGCTTGATATCTACACAATCATACATTTATACATATCAGATATCTACACCTTGTAATTTGATGCTAATAACTTAAACGAATTTAATAGACCCATATTCACTTTTTTATTTAGGGGTATAGATACACTCCTTAAGGTATTGGTACCCTTATTACATTCTGGGAATTTTTGTTCAAGAGGGTATCGGTACACATACATAGGGTATCGATACACTCTGCCCAAAACATACTTTTTCACTCGAAAATTCATTAACTCTTCACTGAATTTCCTCATACAAAACTCCTTTCATACCACCAAACTCAACTACAACCATTTTAACTAACTTCTATCATTCTAACACTTTATTATATCCCTTACTTCATTCAAATTCTTAAAGTTAAGAATCACATCAAATTTTCCATGTTATCCAAACTTAATTCTAACACTTATTACTTCTTATTCTCCTATATGACAAGTCAAATTCAATCTCAAAGTTCTTTTATCAACTTTTTTTCAGAAATTCATTTAGAAACTTCTTATCTATAATCTCTCATAACTTCTTCATCTTTTGATTTTAAGACAGCTTAAGCTTTCCTTAAACTTAAGTATCACTAACCCATACTTAAAATCAACAAATAATCAACAAATCAGAAAACTTACCTTTGCTTGACTCTCTCTCTCACGTATGAAGAAGAAGAAGAAGAAGGAAGATATTTCTGGAGAAATCTCTCAACCTTATCCCCATATATATCATTATCTTATCATTTCCAATTCAAATGATCATTTTGCCCTTTAATTCTTTTAATAATTACTAACAACCCTTCGGGAAATATTTTCAATTAAGTCATTGAACTATTCAACTTTTCTACTTTAATCACCAAATTCTGAAGTTTTACAGTTTAGTCGCTAACCCGTAGTTTGGGATGTTACAGTGACAAAATAGCTAATTTACCTAAAAAATAGTTGAAATTTAAAACGACTTGAATTTAAAATTAATCAAAATCAAAATGAGTTGAAAATTTTAAGGTAAATTACACATTTAGTACCTAAACTATCAGTTTTAGTGCCTAAACTTTTAATTGTTTTAAAACCATATCTAACGTTTAGTTTTCATTTTATTTTAGCGACTCGCCTTTAAAAACTAAATGTTTTTAGTACCTAAACTATCAATTTTGGTTCGTTTTAGTACCTACACTTTCAAATTTTTTTCAAAACTTAACGTTAAATTTTGAACGGGATACTAAAATGAAATAAAATCTAAAGTTTTTATCTGTAGGGTACTGAATGAAACAAAAACTAAATTTTGGGTATGATTTTGAAAAATTAAAAATTTATGTACTCAAACCAAAATTGACATCTTAGGTACTAAAAGAATAATTTACCCAAAATTTTAACCCAACCCAATTTGGAGCAAGTTACAGGGACGTGGCTCCAGTTTGCACACTTTTGAACGACCAAATGGGACAAACCAATGCCTAAAAGCATTCCACGTTCGTCATTGAAGTGGAGGCAGCTTCTTAGTACAAATATTCTTTTTCCATTATCACTCTCCCTCGAAATCCTCTCTTTTTTGGTCTTAAACTGAGTTCCACTACTTCTGGGAACTAGTAATTAACTTCACTTCATACTGCTTCATATCTACCTCCAAACCCATAGACCCCAAAATAAGGAAGAGGTATGGAAAGACATTAACCTTGCTTCTATACACGATAACTGTCCATTTGATGTTGTAGCCTCACCACCTTCTGATAATAAAAGGGTCCAAGAATCCGATGGGATCGCCGGCACAGGCGTATGATCAAGAACCGTGAATCTGCAGCTCGATCAAGAGCTAGGAAACAGGTAAGCACCTTGTTTTCTTCGGTTATTGAAAGCGTCATTAATCTTGAAATTGATCATCCTTTTTATATGCAGGCTTACACCAATGAGTTGGAGATTGAAGTTTCACATCTTATGGAAGAGAATGCAAGACTAAGAGAGAGCAAGAACAGGTAAGGCTGATCAAATCAAGGATTCGTGAATTAGTAATACAGTAGTTGACATTCTGCCCTTGCTTTGTAAGTTACGCGCAGGTGGTGCCTCTCCGCTTTCTAAAAAGCGCACGCTTACGTTAACGGCTCCATTTTGAGGAAAAATAGATCCGTCCATGCTTTCCTTTTAACAGTAACCCAATCTTTCTTTGACATCTATCGTTTGTTAAATGATCATTTTAGTCTTTATTTCTTAGCATTTTGATCTTTAGCGTTTTAAGTTTTTATCTAAATATCAATTACTAGATGAAAACTACCAGTTAACTAACAGTCAATGAATGTTATTGATATAATATTTTCACACTTGCTTAATTAATGACATATCATATGTCACTTCACTAGAGTGGTATACGTTAATTGTTAGCCAAGTAACAATTTTCATCCCTGTTATTTTAATAAAAATTGAAATATTTAGACTAAAATACTAAAGGTTAGAAATCAAAGTAATTGAACAAATGCTGGAGACTAATTTTGTCACCATATATATATAATCTTCTTCTTCCTACAGATGGAGAGGTTCTTCAAGCTAGCAAAGGAAGCAACCTTGGTTTATAAAGACGCTAGGCGCATCGAGACGTAAAAGGTTTCTGGAGTCTAGGCGTAAGGCGCAGGCACGCACCTTTCATAGGAGATGCGCACTTTTTATGTTAATAAGTTAGATAATTTATTCTAGAGTACATTCACACCCATTACCCACTAATTCACTCCTAAAATACTTATCTCTTCACACCCTTTCCTTTCATTAAAGTGTCAAGACTCGTTTACCCTAGTTTCTAAAGTATTTCAACATAGAGTAAATATCTTAATTTTGATAAGAAAACATGGATATAGGACAATTATATGGTCATCATGGAACAATAATTTATATTCAATAATTTTATTTATTTTTAAATATTACAAATTAATTTTATTATCTTATATAACTCTAAGTTATTATAAAAATTAAATTTTATATTTAATAAATTTGATTACTAAATTTTATTTTATTTAATATTTTAATATTTTAAATTAATTATATATATTACATGAATCAATTTTATTATTATTTATTAAGACTGTGGCACCTGATCGTTTTCGAGAGAGATCCACTGCCTTCTTTTCTGTTTTCTTTCGTCGGTCTTCTGCAGCCTTCTTCTATTTCTTTTATTATTATTTATTAAAATATTAAATTCTGAAAGAAAAAAGAAAAAAAACCTTCCATAAGCGCGCAGGCGCTGAGCCCGGCGCCATTCGTATAGCGCCGAGGCGCGCCTTTGAAAACCCAGGTCAGTGAGTGGTTGATGTACAGCTGAAATTGTTTCAATAGAAGCTAACATAACAGTTATGCATGCCACTTGATCGACTGATAAGTGTAAACAGCTTCCAGTAATCGGATTTATTCCAAAGATTCAAACCCGAATGGCAACAACATCGTAAAGTGGATTGGACAACCATGCTTCTAAGGAAGCAATAAAAGATGAAATGTAACCGACTGCATACAGCATGAATCTTTTTCAGCCCTTGGGAAACCTGGCTGATTTCTAGTGCAGTTTACAGGCAGAAATGTTTTCAAGATAAGCTACCGTACATAAAGATAGCACTAAAAGATGACCCCATAAGACTTCAAATGAGCATACCAGTGTTACCTAATTCACCCCCCACCCCATGAATCTTGTTTGAACTCATTCGGGATTTGTTCCTGTTCCTTCGTTAAGGAAGGCATGCTGGAACGATCAAATTGGCGTACCGAAAACCCAACACAGCAAAAGCAAACAAAGTCGATAATAAGAAAACAGAAAGAGGCATCGGAAGAAAATAAATTTAAGTTGCAGTGTTTGCACAACTCTTCGTTCAATTAAACAATGGGAGGAGAAAAATCCATTTCTAATCTATAAAATGAATCGGTCATCACCAAATTATCCCACCCAACGAATCATGACCCCAAAATCTGTTCCAAACAAAACCACCTCCAACAAACCGTAAACGGTGAAACTAACTAATTGTGATCCCGTACCGATTCCGTGAACCATGAATTAGATAACACTAGTACAGACAATATGCTTGTATGCTCATTCATGTAGCTTTGAGGAACACCAATCATAATTTCTAAATCCCAAGAACGATTCTCCATTCGAAAATGCAATTCGAGTAAGATGAAGCAGCAGTTTACAATAATAAATAACAAGATAAAAGGATCTCAACTCCCTTTCCTATTCCTTATTTGTTGCAGCTGAGTCCTGAGGAGCGTTATCTTTATCAAGCATCTTCCCGTCGGTCGGCACCAAACATGGGATCCCATCCTTTATCTAATAAAACCACATATAAACATAAGTTACAGCCCCATTTATACATCTAGCATATACCCAGAAATTGTATAGGGCTTTGATGTCAATAAAAAGGTGGAATTGCAACCAAGTTCAAACAATCGAAATCAAAAAGGGGGAAATGGGAATATAGCTCACGGGAAAAGAGACCCCAACAGAATCACTGATAAGAGAAGTCGATTCCTCACAAACCCTGTCCCAGTAGCAATCAATCAACCAACCAAAAGAAACAAAGTCAGGAAACAGAAGCATCGTAAAAGGGAAGGGAAAGCGAAGGAGAGAGCACCTTAGAGTTTGTTTAGAGAGTGGACATACGAGGATCTCCGAAAGAGTTTTGCTAAGTCCGGTTCCTGCATCTTTTAGTAGCCAGTTGGTTAATCTCACCATTTTCCCCCTTTTTGCCTTCACTTTGAGCTCGTGCGATACTAGCGATGGTACAGGTCCTCACAGCACTCAATGGTTTGCGTGAGCTTCGGGTCTAGTTTGCTTTTGGGTTCTGGTGGGGCGGAGGGCTGTTTGGAATTGGGTTCGTGGATGATATATGGGTTATGTAGCTCTGCTATGCAGGATGTACCATATCGATTTTTTAATAATTTGAGATTATTATAAAATAGTATATATTTAAAAAAAATTTATTTAATAATAAACGTCCAAATATTTTTATAGACGTAATCAAACTTAAAATCTCTAAAAATAACAATAATCTTTTAATTATTATAATCATTTGTTTTGTACATTAGATTAGATCGAAATCTTTGTTTGCTGGAATAGCAATGATTCTTAGGGCACTGCAATTCAGGGTTAGAGGAGAAGGTGCCATTATTCCCTTTAGTTGGTGTTAACAAACGATAAAATTGTTCTTGCCAAATGATCAATAAATTTGGTATAAGACAAACTTGACTACATGCCTAAAATTTATGTTCTTCTAGAGCTTGTTGAAGAAGTTGAGGAGGTAATGATATAGATGCAAGAATCACTTGTAAATCAGCACGTTGGATGAAAATTTTATATTATGTTTATGGCTTAATTATAAAATTAATACCTAAACTATACCGATTTTCACGAATTGATGCCTAAACTATTTTTGAATTCTTGTGTCTAACGTTACAATTGGTATCATTTTAGGTGCTTAGGATGTAAGCCGTGAAATTTCATTGTTAAGTAACATATGTCACTCTCTGGTAATTTTAAAAATTTTATTTTTGAAAAATACTTCAAAATATTATTAAATTAGTTGATCCTTATTCCCATATGTAATGGGATAAGGGGGAGGTAAAATAGTTGGCTACTCCCAACGCCAGGTTGAGAGCAGCTTCCGTAGGAGACCTCCAAATTATGAAATACCCTCTGTGGGACTCGATCCCACGACCCCAAGGTTAAAAGCCTTGTGCTCTACCAACTGAGCTGGATGATCATTTAACTTCAAAATATTATTATTATTATAAAAACCCTAAACTTTTCTTTTTTACACAAAATACCCTACAATTCATAAAATTTCTTATTCTAATCCCTTTGCTCCGGTAGCCGGTCTTCTCCGATCACCCATCCATCGTCGATTGATCATCTATTTGTTGTTAGCCACCCAATGATCGATCATCATCATTGTTATCATCTCAAACCTCAAAATTCCTAAATTTCTAAACTTAAATCTCTAATGCCTAAAACTCAATCTCTAAAACTAATAGCCCTTAATCTGAAAATAAACCTTAATCTGAGATGAATAGTAGGGGATTGTTTTTAGAAAAAAATGTTTTTTAAATATATTATTTTAAAAAAAACTTTTTAAATGTATTTTCTTTAAGAAATATACTTTTACATGTTGGTTTCTATGAGTTTTGGAGTTTGTTGTAAGTTTGGAATTTAAAAAAGAGGTGATCTCATTTAGCTTCTCACAAAAAGTTTGAGAGTTTTCCCTATGTTCGAAGAGAAGAAGAGAACGAGAGGTTTTCCCTTGAAAAAATTATTAGATTGATCTGATTCACCATGTCATCTGTGGTCTTAACCAATAAAATTTATCCATTTCATTTTTTTTCAAGGTGAATCTTCACCTATTTCCTACTTGTAAATAAGGAGTTTATTGTTATTTAGAAGTTACTCTGACATATACGAGTTTTATTGGTTGAGACAATGGATGACGTGGTGATTCAGGTTCATCAAATAATTTGCATGCTAAGGGCTCCCCCTTATGAATGGAATTTTTATTTTCATGTTTCTAGCTTTTTATGTTCACTTTATTTGATTTTGATCCTTTCTTGTACATTAATGAATTTTATTAATACTTATGATTTGGGTTTTAAACTTGTTTGTTTTTCATTTTAGTCCCTTTTTGCTTGTTTGTTTATGTTTTGTTGTTTTATACATTTGATACCTTATTTTTGCATCTTTCATTTTAGCCATGTATGTTATTTATAGTTTTTTTTTTTAGATTCAAGTACCTGTATTGTATGATATTTACTTTGGGATCTTTGATTTTTGTCATGTTTAAAATTTTTCGTTTAAAGTTGTTTTTTCATTTAGTCACTCATTTGCATAGTTTGGTAAATTTTTATTATTTTGCATTCCAACCCATCACATTTGAATGTTAGCATTTAGGCCCCTCATATCTCTTGTATATGTCCATGTGTGTATACGTATTATATTTTAAATAGATGCTATAGTTTTAATTATTTATTCAATATTCTGTAAATGTTTTTGTTTGACTTTATATTTATTTATTTTCTCTAAATAGATTTTCTCTTAATATTATTAATAATTGTGTGCATTAATTCTTTAATTAACATGCTTTACTATTTTATTCTACTTTCTGACGCATTTATGTTTGAATCATGATTAGTTTTGTTTTCATAAATAAAGAGGCAACATGATCTTATTTGAAAAATAAATAGGATAAACTTCTAAGTCAAATCTCGTTGGTTTTTTTTTTCAAAGTAAAAGGATCACGTTTTAAATATAGATTTGAATATGCAACTTTTACTATTACGACAACGTATAAGCGATTAGATACCAATTTAGGACATTGTGAGTACTAATCTTTTCTCACACGTAATCGACTCACGAACCCTTTAAAATGAGTTTTTGATAAAACGCATACCAATTGTTGACTTTGAAAATGATTTTTCTTAAAATTATTTTAAAAACGATTATAGATATTCGACCTATCTAACCTAAAGGTCAATGATGACTTCAAATCAAATTAATCCAAAAATTTCAAAATAAATCGTAACTTGGATTTTCTTTTAAAAAGGGCACTTCGTTTAAAAAACGTTATGACACATACGAGTAGCCATCACAATCATACACCTGACACTAACACTAAAAGTTTACATCAAGATACACTCCTGCGTTTCATGTCCTTAAAAATTCTTCGAAATCTCTGAAATTGTATATCCTCCAACCAACTATAATCTCATGATGTGACATATAACAACTTCACTTGATCTATGATATACTATCAAATATATATATCTATTTAGTTTGTCTGCATGTGAGTAGCCATCATGGTCCAAAATCTAACACTAAAACTAAAAAGTTAATATATAAACAACTATAACAATTTTTACTAATCAATTTTCTCATATCAATTTAAAATTTATTTAATAAATAATCTATGTTCTTTTTCGTTTAGATTTTATTAATCAATTGTTGCATCATCACCAGGTGCAATTATCCATCTAAATCAAAAGGAGTGAAAAATCACCTATTGACAAAATCCATTTTTATTTCCATCAACAACATTCTTTGGACAAAATTTTCTTATATTAATTTAAAATTTATTTAACAAATCATCTATGTTCATTATGATTTATGAGTTGTTTCGTTATAATATTTTTAATAATATTGTTGTTTGTTTGTTTATTTTACTTCTTATAAAATCTCTGTCAACAAATGAGAAAAGTGTAAGTACTCAATCCAAATTGAAAAATATAAATTTGTTTCTTTTTCTCTCGGCAACGCCAACCTTATTCTCCCACTCTTCGTCAAACCAAACATGAATAAGCTAATAAACAAATATGAACAGAGACCATTCGCTCAAAGCTCAACTCAGTAGAGGAGTTAAGATATCTGATTCTCTGCTCCACTCATGTTAGTTCTAGGGCTTTGTTTGGTATGGGGGCAGAATATTGAAAAAGAATAATGAACATGGAGAAAGAAGAAGACTTAGAGAAGCAGGCCCATTCACCTCAAAAACCAAAGATTAAGGAACAGATATAAAGAACATCATTTGGTGAAATGGTATTTGTATGAACAAGCTGATCATGCAATAACATAGAAGTCACTTAAAGAATAAAAGCCACTAACTCCTAAATAAAAGTAAACTAACATCACCTTCCTAAATAAAAGGAAAACTTCAACAGAATAGACTTTTTCAGTAAAGACTAATTCAACAACTATGACAGTAAGTTTCACTAATTTGCAACACTCCCCCTTAATGCAAATTTACTGTCAACAACACCAAGAGCACTTCGAAACACTTCAAAATTTCCTTTGCCAAGTGCTTTGGTAAATATATCAGCAACTTTCTCTTCAGTTCGTATTTTCTGCAGCTGAATGTCCTGAGTCAAAACCTTTTCTCGAACGAAATGATAATGTGTTTCAATGTGTTTTGTGCGGGCATGAAACACTGGATTTCCAACAAGCTTAATTGCACTTTCATTATCACAGTGAATGAGAACTGCATAATCCAAGACAAAGAACATTTCTTGAATAAGCCTCTTAAGCCAAATATACTCTTGAGTGGCCATAGTAGCTGCTAAATATTCAGCTTCACAACTTGAAAGAGCAACATTAGTTTTCTTTTTGCTGCACCATGAGACTACTGCTAAACCTGTATTAAAACAATACCCTGTTGTGGAGCGACAATCATTCACATCACCAGCCCAGTTTGCATCTACAAAACCAGTCAGAAAAAATGATACATGCTGTATATACAATAACCCAAAATTCATAGTGTTTTTTTACATAGCGAAGAATCCTCTTTGTTGCAGTTAAATGGCTCTCACATGGTTTTTCCATAAACTGATAGATGACTCCTACAAAATATAAAATATCAGGCCTTGTGATAGTTAAATAGAATAAACTACCAACAAGCTGTCGGAAAAGTGTTGCATTTTCCAATAGTTTTCATTCATCTTTAGTTAACTTCAAGCAAGGTTCCATGGGAGTAGTCATTGCTTTTGACTCCCCCATACGAAAACAATTCAGTAAACTTGATGCATATCCTCTTTGAGAGAGAAAATATCCATCTGACCTTTTAACCTCCAAGCCAAGAAAAAAACTAACCTCTCCCAAACTCTTCATTTCAAATCGAAGAGACATAGCATCTCGAAGACGAGTTATTTCAATATTTTCATCACCAGTAATGATCATGTCATCCACATAAAGAAGGAGCATTGTGCACACTGCATATGTTTTCTTAACAAATAAACTTGAATATGCAATTGAAGACTTGAAACCACAAAAATCAAGGTATTGAGCGATTTTACCATACCAAGCACGTGGAGCTTGTTTGAGGCCATACAAAGCCTTC